AGGGTTTTTTTTGTTTATTTATGCTTATAAGTGAATGAATTTTTGCTTACCATTGTCTGCTATTGAACCCACACGCGCGCAGTGGAACACACTAATTGGCTCGTCCGAACGCCCCTCTATTCTTCATTTTTCTGGTTTCATTCTCGTCCAGCCCCATTTTTAACGGGTTTTTGAAGTCTTTTTTCACTTTGGAAACACCGATGCACGCAGTTTCTTCACCTCAGTCGCACTAGTTTCGATCTTGTCTTCCATTCTTCATCATAATCTGGATTACCCAAAATTATCGTAAACTGTGCCTTTAAGTGTCCGCCATCGGGTTATCCTTGACATAGGTGCAACGAAGACATCAAGTAACGATGCGATCCTGTGGGGAGTCGGTCTTTGTGTCCAACTGTAATTATTTCGCACCTTCCTCGCCCATCCACCACTCGCCTGAGGAGTGACCTCCCTCAATTGGTTGGCTGGTGACCTCTCTGGCAGTCTCAGTGCACTGATATTGATTTTCTGGATTGAAGTCTTTATTATTGTGTTATTATTAATAGTAGTATAATATTTATTGTTAATATTATTATTATTACACATTTTAAAATAGTTTTTGCCTATGTAATTTTGGTAGAACGTTAGAGAACGTGTCGTGCCTGGAATCCAGTATATTAGTACGTCATGCTTCCCACTTTTGCTTACCTGCCTTTCGCCAACATGTGTTGGCACTTGAGTGTGCCCCGGATTCATAGTAGCCGTAGCTGCCCCTGGGGTCTCGGAAAACGTAAGGTTCTGGTTCGCAGAGCTCACAGTGCTTGCGGTTGCTGAATGTAAATAAAAGGAATTCGGAGCGTCAGCACTCGAGGGAACAAAAAGAGGAGGTGCAACGGGTGGAAGGGGTGCAGGTACTTGAAATAGAGGTGGTACAGTGTATTGTGGTGGGCTAGCTAAATATACGGACTCGTGAAATTATGAAGAAACAACAGGAGCAGCTAATCATGAGTTGAAGCAGGAGAAGGCGCTGTGGTCGAATTCGGAGTAGGACAAGTCAGACATCGTGCTCATGCGATGGCAAACACAGTACAGAGGTGATTCATAATGCTTTCGTCCACATCTTCAAATACCTTCGAGTGACTACTGGCGGTGTCCAAACAAAGCGATACAAGGTGTTAAAAAAAGTGAGAAAGGTTACTCTGTTAACTAGTTTGCCTGCAGGCGTCTTGTGAGAATGAATGCTGAAGATATTTCCAATGGTTATTTTGGGCTCCACACCTTTTTTTGTTTTATTATTTGTGCGTTTCATATTTATTTGTTTTGCTTTATTTTATTTCTCATGCTTTGAATGTATGGAGGTTTTTCACTCACACAATCGATATGATTAGACGTGAGGCTAGTTGTCTGGCAGAGAGGTCACCAGCCAACCAATCAAGGGAGGTTTCCCCCCAAGCGAGTGAGTGGATGGGCGAGGAAGGTGTGAAGTAATTACAATTGGACACAAATTGGCTCACTCGATCCTGTGTATACTAATCGAGGTCGAATCGCGGAGAATGTTTCTGTTGGCACTACACAAGATAATCTTGTGAATGGTGTGAGTGCGCTAAACAGAGAATGAGAGTCGTCAGCAAAAGGAATTGTGAATAGCGTGAGAGGGCGTGCTCCAGTCGAGCTACTTATTGAGGTACGGGACTCGCTTGGGGAAGATAGCACAGTCAGGTTACTCTTACTTTTAGGTTCCTATCTGGTTCCTAGGCGCTGTGGCTGCTGAGAAAAGTTTACTGGATGGACGAAGAGCAGAAAGTCGCCTCCGTCTTTTAGCTGAGGGAGTATTGGTGAGTTAGCCATACTCTCATCAGAGCAGGACTGATTAGTGCGGAATCGACTATAAAAGGGAAACGATATTCAACTAGAGACTCAAGATCTGGGGTTCTGATTAACCTCGTTGCTTTGCAAATCAGATTCGGCTATTTTCAGAGTGCATGCTTGATTTGGCCTTTGTGTGTGTTCGTGACCAGATTAAAAAGCTCTTTGAAGGAGACTGCAGAAGTTCTAGGGAAAAAGGAGGACTGTTATGGTTTCTGCACCTCGAAGTAGCGATTGCAGTATTCGCTGCGAGCTGCAGCTAAAAATTTACTTCCATCCATATTTGATCCAAGATTGAATGTAGAAGTTTCGCACTACGTCTCTATAAGGTAAAATAGGGAGTTAGAACGTATAGAGGATGCAATTCTTAAGCCATGCTTTGCTTTAGTCTGAGCACAAACTTATGAATCAGAACAGTTGGGCGTCGCTGTTTCGACCTTTACCCACTTCGAACAGTTTCAATAGTGTTGCTCACAGCTGTTCCCCCATTTTGACCGCTGTCTGTCCTTTCAAGTGATGTTCTACGAACTTCTACTAGTGGAACTAATGGTGCTATGGGTGCTTTCTAGAGTCTAAGAAAGCGACTTTGTACTTTTTGTAGTTTTTCCTTTTTGGGACTGTTTTAACCCATTATATACACTACATACATTATAATTTATGTGTACCCTACATACTCTAGATGTAAAAATGTATTAGGCTGATGCAAACCTGAAATAGGGATTCATGTTTCGAATTCACTAACAACTTATTTATACCCAATCTCATCAAGCCATGTAATCACCATCATTATCTGCGACATTCGTTGAACTGAAGGCATCTTGCTTATACACTTTATGCATAAAAAATAGAGCCCCTTACTGAGAAGTAAGGCACAATATTTTTAACACTGTACAAATGGCAAGCTTCCTGCTGACCAGGAACTGCTTGATGGCCTAACGAGGAGATAGTCAGAAGTGACACAGTAATCCAGCTGAGCTGGACTGTGCTCTTTTTCCACATGAGGTCAAGCGCTGTTATGCAAAAGATAGACAGAAAAATTTTTTGATCGCTTTCTCTGTGCTACGGGAAGAGAACCGGTGAGGGTGAGATGATTATCTTGAGCGAATCTGGGGCAGCAAGGCACCTCTGCTTTCTAGCGCGGTGTCTATGCACTCTGCCGTCTGGTGTCAGAGGCGCAGAGCACCAGGACGCTAGCACAAACCAACTACATTTTCACCGGCAAATATACATTTAATCGTAGAAACATCAATATGAAGAAATTCACTGACCCTCCCAATCCAGTGAGTTCAAGAAGCAGAAGAATGACCACAGTGCAGCAGAGTGACACCAGGGGAGGAAATCCGATCAGCAAGGGGGACGGAACATTCACCCAGAACTGGATGGACGCGGCAAATGGTGCGGCGAAATTCGTGGCGTTAAGGACGACTTTGGCACCTATCACTGGGCGCTAACTTGAAGTTGATTACATTAGTGTGGTCAGATGATCGTAATAATCGACTCTACTTCAAAATTGGGCCCCAAGATAGGCACTAAAGCCCTCCAGATCGCCACGACTTCCGCCGCGCGATGTGCCGCGGCCATCCAGTTCTGGGTGAATGTGCACATACCCGATCAGCAAACAAAGTGAAATCAGCTGCTCGAGCGTGTTGTACGCAATTGCAGACATTGCGGGCGCTAGCCCAAACATTCCTTTCACGCTTTTTTCTGCCTCAAATTCGTCATAACCCCTCTTTTATTAGTTTTTTTCCTGAACTTTCTTTATATAAACGGTTTTTGCGTTTTGTTCATTATCGTTGTACTACTTTAGCCTTTATATTTCATCAATCGTCAAAAACCGTATTCCCCAGAATTATCATGAACTGTGCCTTTAAGACAAAACCTCACGGTGTAGCACCTTAACAGAGCTTTGTTGGTTTGAGCTGCACAGACGCATCTCTTTTATCAAGAAACAGACACCGTTTAGTGTTTTCGAAAGAGCAACAGCCTTCATCTCCAAATTCCCACGTCCGGGCTTTTCACAAATTTGCAGGAGGTTGAAGTCTTCTCAGTTGACTTTGGAGGCAGCTGAACGAACGCCAGGTTCTCGACACCTTTCGTACAACAAAGTTGATCATTTGGTACTCGCGACAAGTGAAGCCCTCGTAGATCCAATTGGATATTGTCGGCAGTGGACCTAAGAATGTTTCGAAATGTAGCAGAAAAATGGGCTGAAAGCTGCCAAAAGTCATCTGGAGAAAAGAAGACAAACTGTGTTTCTGTGTCCCAAAACTTCTCATCAACCTGTAATAATATATACCCTATTTGTATGTACATAGTGCAATGTATATAGGGTTTGCTCAATTTTCAACAATTAAACACGTGGAAGCGATGGCAACGTCAAGCGATTTGTATCCTGCAAAGGTTCCAGTGGCTCGAGACATGTCAATTCATTTCAGAATGATCTGTCACTATTTTGGAGGAAAATATGCTTGCCCCGCATCCGCTCTCCCTCAAACCTGCCCTACTTTCTCTCCCCTGATGCCTGCACTTCTTTCGCCTCTTCACTCCTGTGTTAGTTCTGGAAAAAAAAGAGCGAGTTGGAAGAGCCATGTAGCCAGATTGAGCCCCCAGTAATTTCCTCAGCTATCATTATGGTTGTTGTTTCTTTTCCGGAATGCAGATGGAGTACGTAAAATTTCGTGCAGAAACGGAATCGGTATTTGAACGATATTGAAAAGAGGGTAATCAGAGCCGCGGTTGGGAAGAGATCCAAGAAAGTTTAAGGAAAGGGAAGATCATTGAAAAGAAATCTATAAATACAAAAGAATACTGAACATCAAAAAAACGGACTGCTGAGGCGATTCTACGCAACACGAGTTTAACTTAGATTTTTTTGTGTCGCTTTCAATCGCTTGCCCCCGAGCTCAAAAAAACTGCCTTGTTAATTGGGTGCAAGTTTGGAGCACTCATCCCTAACATTTTTTCCACTCAATCCTGAACCTATGCTAGGTCTTCTTGTATTACGTGATCCTACATATCTTTTAGAAACACTCGAAAAATAAAAGTATAGCAGGAATCCTATCGCTTCAAGCTATTTTCAGGTCGATGCTACTTCATCAACTTGTGCTTTTGACATCTGTTCACATTTTTTCTTGTCAGAAATTGCAAGTGAAAGATGTCACATCTGGAAAAACTTCGCTGACTTTCGTTTTTGATATCACTGGATCAATGTTTGACGATCTTCTACAAGTGCGAGAAGGAGCGAGAGAAATCTTCCAAACAGTGTTGCAGCAAAGGGACAAACTTATTCACAATTACATCCTAGTTCCATTCCATGATCCATGTGAGTTCTTATCCTTCTGTAATGTAATCATCAATCTATTATCATTATATAATTTCAAAACATGATACACCAGATGGTTGTAAGAACTAAAAAATGTTGCCAACATTTCTTGATACAGTCTCCTATTGCAGCTCTAATATTGGGCTTTTTCTTGTCATTTTGCTACCATTTCATAACTACTTGTGCTATTATAGTGCGGTAGGTGTTTCTGAAATTTCGAAAACTTCTGAATATTACTAAGTGGAAATCGAATGATATAAGAAAAAATCGCCGGCAAAAGCAATCGGTACTACTCCAGAGACTCATGTAGATTCGAGAATGGTCACAGTCCCTACTGCTTTGCTGCTACGTCTTTTGTCCTCTTCCAAACGTAACATGCATGTCTACTTTCAAAAATAGCGAGTGCGGTCGGTGCTCTGCTTAGCTAGTGATTTGCAATAGACCCTGCAAAACTGCGGGAGATTTGTGGGATTTGGGGGTAGGAGTGCAGAGAGGGGCTTGCTCAAATGTCAGAGCCATAACAGGACTGTACTAAACGGAGTTGATATAAGGTGCAGGAACAAGTTGACATACTTCAAGCGCCTAAATCGGAAATGTCTATCAAAGATCTATGGATGCAAGCTAGGAAGATCAAACGTGACGTCATCGGACCGACCGAGGGACGTGAAGGTGGAAGGCGTTGCTGCTGTACATCGTTTTCGGACTGTTCCATGAAACATACAACAGCAGAGGAGTCGGAGGTGAATGTGTTCGTCAGTGCGCCCTTGGCGATGAACGCCAATTAGTACGAAAACTCGAAATTCCCAAAGGGGAATTGGGCTTTGCGATTGAGGGGATTTGGCTCAACCCCAACTCTAGCAGTCTTCCTTGCCTACCCACCTACGTCAAGCAAGAAGGGAAGCTCGATGCAATTTGTACAACCTAGAAGTTTTCAAAGAGGACCACTTTTTTCTTCGAGGTCATCGTCGGTATTTTCAACGTTAAGATTGGACACACTATGTTATGCTTCCATCGACTTGAAGAAGGCTTTTGATACCCAGCAGACACCTGGAGTCTTGGGCAACGGGTACTCCTACTTTTCATATAAGGATGCTTTGTGAGCCCTACAACAACTCCACGTCTAGGATTTCGCCATGATTCAAGGAAGTCATGGTCAACGTGAAAAGGGGAGTGTCAGGGCAATACCATCTGCTCAAGCTTTTCAGTGTCTCCCGAGAACATCATGGAAAACGATGCCAGCTGAACTCGTCAACGCTAGTAGGAAGATTAGCGTGCGACTGAATTCAGACAATGTTCAAGAGAAAGAATTACTACCTGGCGTTCAATTTATGATGTTTGAAACAGCTCTTAGTGCTCTAAATAGGTGCATCTAGATGGAGAACTCAGAACGATAACGGTTCAGCTCCGGAGCTAAGAAGAAGGAAGTGCGCGGCCAAGGAACGCTCTAAGACTGAGGAGTAATGAAAAGAAGCAGAGAAATCCGGTTGAGGACTCACTTCCCCGACATTGCTATCCTTCAGGCTTTGGCATACGTCTTGAGGATGTGGACCTAAGACGGACGAGCATGATGTTAGCGTTATTCGACGCACTGTGATAAGAATGATGCCGGTATATCCCGAATTGCTCAAATGCGGAGGAAGATAGGGAGTTTCAAGCTGCATCGAGGTACGAAAATTAGGGACGCCTTTGCTCACGCCAAGGAATTAAAGATCACATGTTACGAACCTCATGCAACTATGCGATGACCGTTGGACGGCTACTGACTCGATCTCACAAGACGTCCAACGGAGACAGGGACGAAAGCTAATGCAATGGTCAGGTTTCTTCTCGAAGGCTCTGAAAGAGAGGAATCCTATGGTTTCCGCTAGAGCGAGGACGATCCGCTGGACAACTCTGGTTCGCGATAGGGACGAATGGACGTGTCCGGCGCTCGCTCGAGAAATCGATGATAACAGGGCGAGAGATGATATAGGTGGCAGGTGTTGGCCGGAATGATACATATGAATAGTCTTTGAAGACGATACAGGTGATAAGTGCTCATCCAAAAACCGAAAAATCTCATTCCCTGTGTTCAGCGTGAAACGGGCTTCGCTGTCAATCCAACCGCTTACCTTGCGCTCTAGAAAAGTGCCTGTCAATCCAATCAAATATCATGCATTGTGACTATCCCAGATCAGATTCTAATTTCCAAATCTTTGTAATAAAGGAGTTTTGGAGAGCTTTATTCGATTGCGATGAAAGTATAAATTTAATTTTTTCTTTACAGATTTGGGCAAAATCATCAATACCACTGATGCTGCATATTTCATGCACCAGCTCGCTGAAGTTCACGTTCATGGTGGCGGCGACTGTCCAGAGAAGACACTTACTGGTGTGTTGTAGACTTTTTGCTGTGATATTGCTCATTGAAGGAGAAGAAGAGACTTATTTGACAACATGTAGCTTAAGGCGCTGGGCACGATAGGAGATTTCAAGCTGGTTCGCCCGATCTCTGTGACTAACATCTCTTGAGTGCAAGTTCGGCATTTACAAATATCGACTTGAAGTAGCCCTTAACTTTCTGATTCTCCTAGACTGCTAGTATTCGGAGGCTTTCATGTTTGTTGTTCGTTCGTTTTCTATAGCGCATAACAGTTGACCTCGATTCCTCTCTTGATATCGCCTTGCTGTGTGGAACTTTCAAATTCCTTTCTGTTTTTCTTATCAAGTCAACGTGGGATGGATGGCTTACAAGATTTGCAGGGAATCGAGGACGGCGAAAATGGGTATGATCATCGTATTGTCGCAAAGAGTTTTCTGTAACGAGACGCAGTAACGATACTAATAGTGCAGACTTTAGTCAGCCTAGTTTCACAAATAAAAGAATAGGGAAGCAAGTTAAACCTAACGTGTAAGTGAGAATATCCCATCATCTCGAATGGCATAATTGATTCTGGAAGCAACACCTTCAACGCCTGCGTACAGTACTTGACGTAAGAACTCGAAAATTCATGCGAATACCTCGACCTCACGTCATTTCGTATTTTCTCTATGAATACTTTGCTACCTGCGAATCTTACCCCCACTCAAATATTCACTAGTCTTACCGTTACTACAGTACCCCGCCGGCGTCTAATCAAAATTCCTTAGAACCCTCCCTCGAATTCCATGCACTGCAGTCCCGCCCACTTGCGTATCCAAACAACATCATCAAGAAACCTATCAGCGACAGACATATAGCAGAAGATGTTTTCGGAGCGAGGTTTCCATCACGGCCTGACCCACTCTAAGAGCCTACACTCAAGTTGCAATGAGGCCAATAGAAAGGAAAAACACATAATTTTATGAGTTGGACGTGATGGAGAGCGAAGTTTGGAGTCATTCCTGATGAAAAGGAGAAACTACGATCCATGATGAGGTGTACCGTAACAAGAGTTGCAAGGAACAAGAGTTCTCTACGGTAATAGAGTGCTTAAACGCCGGCTCCCTCCTCGCAGTCATCTACCGCTTTCACATTAGAAATGAACAAATGAGAATGAACAAAATCAATCGATCGTTTTCGCATTGTACTGAGCAAAGTCGAGCACGTGGCGCAGTCCAGAGCAAATTTTGAAGAATTTATTCTCACAGACCGATCAGCTCCTACAAGCACTACAGCGTGCACCCCAGTTCGAATGCAATTACTTTTCGGATAAAACCAATTGCATGGCACAACTTTGATCCAAGCACTCTCAACGTTCCACGGTACCTTATCAAGGAACTCGACAAGCTGTGCTCAACGGTATCTTCAGCTACCGAGATCGTAAGAACTCAAAAATTCTCGCGGTATCTGCGAGAATTTCTTCTTGTTATCATAAGTATTCTTTTCGGGCGGAAGTGGTGTAGTAGCGAGTGGCGCATTCACACGCGCATGTTCACAGGCACGAATCCCTGATCGGCTATCCAAGGCTTCTATCCTCCTGGGGTCGTTAAATTGGTACCGTTTTGTCTAGGATAGATGTCGGATCTAGGTGGACTTGTACATCGACTGGCCGCCGCGAATCATTGAATAGGCTATATTCGCATTCAATAGGTCTCTTTGATTCTGAATGGAAATCGAATGCATGGGCGCAGTCCTCAGTATTTATTATTATGATTATTATTATTACTATTCAGTAGTCCCAGCTTCTCTCTTCGTAGGACCTCGGCATTTGTATACCATTTATGAATATATTGTGGTTCTTCGCCGACGAGGATGTTATGTGGAAACTTTATCAGTGGCCTGACGTTTTGGCGTAACCGTCTTTTTCATATGCCCAAACGTCATCCAAGTTTGCGAGATCATTCTAAGCCGCCAAACGCCTTCTCTCCCTATGTTTCTGATGGAACGTTAGGGAGAACAAACGGAAAAACACCAACGAGGGAATAAATTCAACCAGTCCACTACCGCAACAGGGATCAGTGCCACTCCGAGTCAGTTATGGTTAATAACTGAGACTCTGTGCGGTCCTTGTATAAAAGCAATAGACTTGTACGTCTCAATGATCACGTCAGATAAAGTTGTATGGGTTATTAACGTTAGTGTAGATGTACCAACCGCTCGAACTTCTAGTTTCTTAATTGCATTGTGAGCAACTGTTTACCAGAGTCCCCTCGCACCTGACCAATACGAATAAGTTCCATGAACAATTACGCAACTTGCACTAGGAAACAAGCTGCGTTATATAGACATTTGATATGACTTCCCCACTACAGGTAGTGTCCGAAGTGCTGAACAATCATGCAGGAAACGTAGAGAGGTTCGGACTGAACAAGCAGCACATCATGATTCTGGTCAAAGAATATCCAGAATGCAATATCCTTAGGTATGTATGACTTGTATGACTACGGCCGGGTATGTATGACTCTACAAAGGGGTTTGCTATGGGTCAACGTTTAGCCCCAATACTCGCTATCTGTTCCGTGAGCAGAATCAATGAGCCCATGCTGTGGCGACTGCCCACGACGCACTGTAGATATGTTGAGGATTTCATTCTAACATCAACACAGTGCGAAATGGATGAGTATTTCCGATTAATGGATCAACAATTGCAGTACATCAAGCACCCAAGAGAAGTTCCACGGCTTCCCTACCTGAACACGCAGGTCTCTGGTGGCATACAGTGTCAAGTGGTGCAGGAAAGTAAGCTCCAAGAGCATCTTTATTCCAGCTACATCTGCGCATCCTCGTGCCTTGAAGAACACAGCTATCAGTATTATGTCCAGAACGGCCGCAAACGTGTGCATAGGTGCTACGGAACGACAAGTATCTATACGACTGGCTTCTCATCATATAACTGCTTTGATCGGTTATATTATGTTACGACATCGCAAACAGGCTAACACTGAGCAACGTAGTGTGCCATGTCGAGACAGAGCCTCTTTATGTATTATATCTGGTATCATTACTTATATTGCAATATCTATATCTGATAGGGTGACCGCAGCATTCCAACGGTTTCTTGCTTATACTCAGCGATGCTGTCTTAGTGAGCGTTCCTAACGAAGACATTAAACCTTAGCTTGTACAAAATAGATTCTACGATCGACAGTGCATATCATACCATGTCGCTACATGTCAAATATATACAAGGACCGCGCAGAAAATCTTAGCTACTAACCTTAGCTGACTTGGAGTGGCACTGTTACGGTCTTACGGTGCTGGACTGGGTGAGTTTCTTCTCTCGTGGACGTTTTTCTGCTTGTTCTACCTAATGCTCTATCAGAAAAGATAGGGAGAGGAGGCCTTTGACAGTTTGGAGAACACCTCTAAACCTCAGGCCTTTGAAAAAGACGATTGCGTCGAAACGTCACGCCACTTATAATGCTCCCACCTAACAACCTCGTCGGCAGAAGAATCACAATGCAATTATTAGTTCTATTGTTAGTATTATTGACATCATCAGTACTAGCGGGGAGGTGGTGTAGAGGCAAGTGGCGCACTTCACACACGCATGGTCACTGGTTCAGATCCCAGATCGACATCCCCCTGAGCCAGTTGAGCCTTCCATCCCTCCGGGGTCGGGTAACAGATTTGTCTGGGAGGATAAAAGCCCTACACCGACTGGCCTCTGCATGCATTGTATAGGCCACATACGCCACTACGATTCTGAATGGAAGTCGAAT